GTTTAGCAGGGGTGACTGAGGTGAGTGGCCAGTGAACACAGGTCTCTGGCCGTACCCTGCACCAGGGGTCACTCCTAGCGTTTCCCTGTAAGAAAAACGTAGACGTGCGAGGGGCCGAGCTGACGTCACACACGCTCGGTCCTTCCTCCTTTGATCCCATAATCCGTTCCAAGAACAACGCCGGGGGACCAAGTCTGCGTGTTCCTTCTGGTCCCCACATTAAAAAAATCTACACAAAAGAACCCGTTTGATGGTCCCTTCCAAAGGCTACTAGTAATTAGAGGCTGCACTCGCAGGTCCGATTGGTGCGACTGAAGCGAAGTTAATCATCAGCTTGCCCCTGCCCCCTCGGCAGAGCACTTCCCCGCAGCTCCCCCAGAGCCCCTGCCTGCTGCGCCCCGACACCCACCCCTGTGCGCCCCCCCGGAGCTCGCGTGTGAGGTAAGACGCGTCCGGAGCAAACACAACCCAAGCACGTGCCGGGGCAGATAAACTGGGGGGCGGGGGGACAAGGCGGGGGCCCCTCTGTGACCCGCCCCCGCCCGCCCTGGTGCAGCTGCTGGACGCAGACAGGGGAGGCTGCAGAGCCGGGAGCCTGAGGGGAGACCACAGCCCCACACAGGCCGCCTGCTGCTTGAACCCACAGCAGCGAGCGAGTCCACGAGGAGCTCCCGCGGCTGCTTTGTACAGACAGAAACTTTTAAACGGGACGGATTTGAATTTCTGATGAAAATCCGCTTGGAGTAATCGAGTTCACTTCCTTACAGAAATCTCTACAGAGCCTGTTCTTCTTTAAAAAAATACCGTCATAGGCAGACACCCTTTTGAGTTGTTTCCCATACACAAAATGAAACCACCCAGCCCGTTAATACCAGAGGGGCCCCCACCCCGGCGTCTTCATCTGTAGAAAGGAACTGGCTTGGGGAGGGTAAGGCTGAGGCCCAGGCCTGTGCGCTCAGAGGACACACCTCCTCCTGCAGGTCGGGGCCCCATCAGATGCGGGCTTTCCCCATTGACACACTCCAGCCTCAGCACATTCCTGGGGACCCTTGGGGTGCCCTTTGCCGCCGCGGCCTCCATCCCTGATCCCAGAGCAGGGAGGAGCGGGCGCGGGGACCTGATCCCAGGAAGGCTCCAGCCCCTGGCGGACACCGGTTCAAAGCTTTCCTACGGGACAGCTTGAAACCCAAACCCACAGGAATGCGCCCCGTGCCCGGGCCGGAGCAGAGCCTGTGCGGGGCGCGGGCCGGCTGCTTCCCGGATCCCGCGGGGCCCCTGCGCCTCCGCGTCCTGCTCCTT